AACGACGACGACGACGACGACAACAACAACGCCTCTCTAATCTAACGTGCTTATACCAACACAGAAACAAAAAAACAAACAAACAAACAAACAAACAAACAAATAAATAAACAAATAAATAAACAAACAAACAAACTGATCAGCATACTTCTGAGACTAAATAAATCTATTATATTATTTGAACAACTGGAAGTTTCCACTTGTGTCCCACCTTGGCAGTTTGTTGAAGTATAGAGTGCAAATACCCACAAACAAACAAACACATAATGAAACAAACAAACAAATAAAGTGACCAGCCTACCTTTGAGATTAAACAGGTACTTGAACACATGGAAGTCCTCGCCAATGTTGAGCTTGGGCAGGTTGTTCAGGTCTAGCGTGAGGTTCCCCAGAGGCTCCTTGTACACTGTGTCTGGCTTGTACCACCCCTCGTACATTCCCGGGAACCCTTCGATCAGCTTATAGTCGCCCACCCTGGCAGTCAGAGAGTCAGTGTATCCATTATGTCCAGTGAACACGACAACTGAATTCAGTCGAATCGAACAGACACGAATCAATCAATCAATTAATCAATCAATTAATCAATCAATTAATCAACCAACCAACCAATCAATCAACCAATCAACCAATCAATCAATCAACCAACCAACCAACAAATCAATCAATCGATCAATCAATCAATCAATCAGTCAGTCAATCAATCAATGCCGAGTGCATACTGCCAATCGAACTCATTTGGTTGAGCTATTATTTGGTATAATTCGACCGAATTCGACTCGGGACCTTGAAAAACAAGCGTGTTTAATACTCAAGGTCACAAACCAATCACGTCAATTTCTGAGGAATTGTGCCAGAACGGTAACCTCTGTCCCTCAGTGGGCTAAATCTGACAGGCTCAGACTCAAACAAAATGAATTTGATTGATAGTATGCACAACAACTACAGCAACAAAAGCGACAGCAACAGCAACAGAAACAACAACATCATCTCCATCATCACCATCAACAATACCACCACCACCACCACCACCACCACCAACAACAACAACAACAACAACAGCAACAACAACAACAACAACAACAACACTAACAACAACAACAACACCACGACCACCAACAACAACAACAACGTCACTGTGAGAAGGTCACCTGATGGCCGCCTGGCCCTGCAGTGGCAGAGTGATAGTCCAGGTTGTACACCACTTCCTGTCTGAGCGACAACAACAACAACAGCAACAGGTCACCTGATGGCCGCCTGGCCCTGCAGTGGCAGAGAGTGATAGTCCAGGTTGTACACCACTTCCTGTCTGAGCGACAACAACAACAACAACAACAACAACAACAACAACAACAACAACAACAACAACAGGGCACCTGATGGCCGCCTGGCCCTGCAGTGGCAGAGAGTGATAGTCCTGGTTGTACACCACTTCCTGTCTGAGCGACAACAACAACAACAACAACAACAACAACAACAACAACAACAACAGGGCACCTGATGGCCGCCTGGCCCTGCAGTGGCAGAGAGTGATAGTCCAGGTTGTACACCACTTCCTGTCTGAGCGCGGGGCCACGTGAGTTGATGGCTGACCACTGGCTCATCCCGTCCTGGTCCGGCTCTGGGTGGAGAAAGCGAAAAAAGAGAAGGGAATAAATGAAAGAAAGAAAAAGAGAATGGGATAGATGAAAGAAAGAAAAAGAGAATGGGATAGATGAAAGAAAGAAAAAGAGACGGGGATGAGTGAAAAGGGAAAAAGAGACGAGGATAAGTGAGAAAAAGAAAAAGAGACGGGGATAAGTGAGAAAAAAAGAGACGGGGATAAGGGATAAGTGAAAAAAAGAAAAAGAGACGGGGATAAGTGAGAAGTGAGAAAAAGAAAAAAAGACAGGGATAAGTGAGGAAAAGAAAAAGAGACGGGGATAAGTTTAAAAAGGAAAAAGAGAGGGAGATAAGTGAAAAAAAAAGGGGAAAAGGAAAAATAAAAGGGAGAGGGAGTGTGGTAGGGAGAGGGAGTGTGGTAGGGAGAGGGAGTGTGGTAGGGAGAGGGAGTGTGGTAGGGAGAGGGAGTGTGGAAGGGAAAAAGGAAGCTGGAGGGGGGTTGTAAGGGACAAAAATGTCACCCAAACGCATTGTTGTGTATTCTCCACTGTCATATATCGTCATAATAAGGAATCTATTGTTAGCAAAAATAATGTCAAAATATGACATAAGACCCTCTACTGTTTTGACCGCTTAATTAAAATTTGAAAATAAAAAATCCCCCCCCCCCCCCAAACCGTTCTCACCTTTGTTTTGTATCCCAGCAGCCTCTGCGATAGTCGGGAACCAATCAACGGCGTGCATCAGTCTGTGGGCGGGGCAAACAAACAGTAAGCCTCTCAATAAATTCATACATAGATCACTGTACAACAAACTACCCAAAGGAAGTCAGTAAAATAGGACTTTTCTTTGTCCAGCTGTTGAATTGTCCCATGCTCCAAATTGTGTTTATTTAGGATTAGAGTTTCTTAACCCTTGGTGTCGGCTGCATGTGTTCAAAGCCTTTATGTCGTGTCAAGACAGTCAAGTGTCCCAAACTCTGCATAATTATATTACATTATACTCGTATGGGATAGAGCGCTATATAAATGGATAAGTGGAATCTATTCTTCTTCTTCTCCTTCTCCTTCTCCTTCTTCTTCTTTTTCTTCTTCTTCTTCTTCTTCTTCTTCTTCTTCTTCTTCTTCTTCTTCTTCTTCTTCTTCTTCTTCTTCTTCTTCTTCTTCTTCTTC